GAACAGATACTATCACCTAAAAATAAAAGAAAACAGAACCTAAATTTATCATCTAATGCCATGAATAAATCTTAGATACTACAGGCATATAGTGAGCACAACACTTTAACAAACTCACTAAAATAAGTTAAGTTATGCTATGATAAGATGGCAATATATGACAACATCAAATGTCACCATATTCAGTGTCCAAAAAAAGTGCCGTGCGCATTTTTCATGGTCGCATAACTGGTATTGTCACAAACCCAGGTGAAAAAGCAATTAGAAAAACCTGGTTTTGGATGATGAGCATAGTCAAATTCTCGATTTATTTCCAGGTAAACAGATTCAGCATTGAAATAAGCCCCATTCCGGACCTTATAGAATCCAAAATATTGTGTATGGACCAGATTTTTGTTTCAATTTTCTGTGATTTACATGACATTAGTTATAATTTAAGGGTCAACCAGTATTGTTCAAGACATATTTTCCTTCCAGAACACCTTTTCAAAATACTAACCCAAACATGTCAAAAATACGTACTTTAGCTTTTCTGAAACCGTTGGCCTTCCTCAGTAAGATTATCAACTGTCTCACAAACATATTTGATAGTAAACAGCTAAAATATTCTCTGAAAATCTATATTTTTGCTCTTCGACGCGAAAATGGCAACTCGAGAAGAAATGAGCCGCTATTTTTGGTCAGCGTCGATTCACTGCTTTTCAATCGAGTGCTTGCGGCGCTCGACAAATGACAGAGGAATGGGGCGAGCTTAATATAAATTGACATTTGGAAGCATTTGGTGCATTCTACACGCCGTTTTGGGCTTCCTATGGCTGGACGTTTGAAATTAAACTCTTAAAAACGATAATTGACGATAGATGTTCTTCCGTCGAACCTCACCCAACGACACAGTCTCGGGTTTAGTTCTATATATCAACAAGAAAAGGCAGAATCCAGAGAAAATTGCTGTTGAGTGTTGTATTCGGCAGAACATTTCAGTTTAACCAGAATCATGATTGGATATTAATTGATATTTGTGAGCGATTATAAAATAATGGTCGATATTTTTCCAATTTTGTTGAACTGAACATGTTGAAATTCAATGACGAATAAATCAGTACATTAATAGACAGCGTATTTTGTTCGATATTCTCTACAACAAATCCTCTATATTGGGTATATAGGAGCGTATTTATTTGCAATCGATTGTTTCCCCAGGCCCAGTGAAATATGATCAATGTTTACATAAAAGTGATAAAACTGTATACTGTGCATGCCCTTGCTTTAGCTGGGTGAAAGCTTTCTATTCTATTTTAGAATGTCTTTGGAAACCTTTAGCATCATTTAGGTCTTGTCCTTGAGTATATTACAAATCCTTTCCTAGTACTTCTTTACGGTTTTGCCCAACATGAAACAGAAAAACTCCAGTATGTAGATCTTGCGTAGCGACGTCGCAAATGCAATCCACAAAGAATACATATACAAGACATCTCACCCCATTGATTTTGCAATACAAGCTCTTGCTATTCATTAAAATTGCTTGCATTTGTTAAAATACACACACTCGGAACTTTATCGAATTGATATCAGCAACTAGATCGGTAAAACAAACTTAGCCCCCCACCCTTATGTAAAAATTTTGTTATCTCCCAAAATCTGGGAGACACGTGATCAGCCTGGACCAGGGTCTTTCCCACCGGCGAGGAGCGTAGTGGAAAGAGCCTGGTTACGAGGTTGAGGAGGTCGTTTGCGTAAATCAAGAACAAAAGTGGACTGAGTACGCTACCTTGTGGCACCCCTGATGTTACATTGAGAAAGGACGATGACATTCCGTCGACCACTACTTGTTGACGTCCTTCGCTCAAATAGTCGGATAACCAGTTCAACAATGAACCAGAGATGCCATGTTGTTCGAGTTTCAAAAAAAGGTTTCGATGAGAAACTGAATTAAAGGTTTTGGAGAAGTCTAAGTAAACCATGTCAGCTTCCTTTCCCGAGTCTAGGGCTTTACTAACGTCGTGGAAAACACCAAGAAGTTGGGTGACACACGAGCGTCGTTTGCAGAAACCATGTTGCAAATTACTCAGTGACGATTCAACAAATTCTGACACGTGGAAATGCACAACATGCTCGAGAAATTTGGACACCAGTGACAGCAAGGAAATCGGCTGATTGTTACTGTCCTCTGAACATCACCTTTCTTGGGAACATGGACCACACTAGCTTCCTTCCATTCCTGGGGAACTTTACCATGCAAGAGTGATGGTTTGTTGAACAGCG